TAAGACAAACATGCACTCCTGATCTTCATTTCAACACCTCAATTTATGTTTTTCAAAAGTGGTCATTTTGTGGTTGTTTTTATTCAATGATTGGGAACTCTTGGCTCATCGACTGAAAAACACCCAGAGGGCTCCCAGTAGACCTTGATCTGCCTTCTGCCCATTCATATTTATAGAGTTGCAAAAAGTTACTTTGGGGGCACAGCAGCTCCCATAATCATCTAGACCACATTTCCTAGGGGATTTGGGGAATTGTAAGGAAGAAAAAAATGTCTACACAAACTATTACAGGTTCAGGAGTCCTTTTCCAGAACATACATTAGCCCTGGATTTTCTGTCTTAAGTAGACTCTAGACTAGATGGCTTCCAACTCCATGGTTGTATCATCATCGTCGTCATCATGATCATCCCCTCCCTCCATCAGGATTCCTGTTCCTCAAAAAGTCTAAAGGCCACCTAAGTAAACCTCCTATATCAAGGATGAGAAATGTCTAACTCTTCACATGTTCAGAGACATAGCCATGTTAGTCTGGAATATCAGTATGCAAAGAGATCTTGTAGCACCTTTCAGGCTAAAGTCCAATCCACATTGCAGAAATAATCCAGTTTGAGGCTGCTTTAACTGTCCTGGCTCAGTGCTAGGGAATCCTGGGAATTGTAGTTTATTGTGGCACCAGAGCTCTCCTACAGAGAAGGCTCAATGTCTCACAAAACTACAGTTGCCAAAATTCCCTCTCATTGAGCCAGGGGAGTTAAAGCGGTCTCAAACTGGATTAGTTCTGCGGTGTGTTTTGGCCCTTGATTTACCTCCTCGGAAGCATGGAATGAACTGGGGCCCAGGAAGGACTTTTATGATCAGACTGTGCAAACAGACATAGAAATGCAAAACATTTCTCCAGATATTGTTGGACAGTAACTCCTACTGATGGGGGTTCCAAAGGATGGGATATAAATAATAATAATAATAATAATAATAATAATAATAATAATAATAATAATAATAATAATAATTATTATTATTATTATTATTATTCAAATTGGTAATGCTGGCTAAGGTTTCTGGCAGTTACAGTCCCAGGGATCTGTATTCTTAGCACACCTGGGAGGCTGTATGATACCCACCTGCATCCAAGGTGATGCCCTCATTGAGGTTGGGCAAGAGATGATGCCATTGCACAAAATTGCCACTTATCTCTGTCTATTATGGCAGCGGGCGTGCTTTCAAAGCTACAGTTTATGGGCATTGGACAAGAATGCAACTGCGATTATTGCCATCTTCAGTTGCCAAAGGAGCAAAAGATGCTTGTCCCTGCTTGCCATCTGATTATTGTTTGAGTCTCATGTATGTCTTTCCAATTTCATCAGGGTTAATGAGTGGGGATGATTTCTTAGTGTTTGTTTGTCACTCAGTAAGCACTGAAAATTTATCATGCACCAAATGGGTTGAAGGAAAGACAAAAGAGATGCCTTTTTTTTAGCCTTTGTATGGCAGCACTAATCACAGTGTACATTGCCATTACTGTATTTTTATATTATATTATACTGCCAGAGATGGAAAGAGGTGTTTTATGGGATTTTCTGCCTCATATGCCAAAATAATGTGGCTGGTTTCGGGTACTATGACTCAGTTGAATTTGGAGGCAGGCTTATTCTGCTCTGCCTCAGGCAGCAAGATGTCTTGGGCAATCCCTGAATTGCTGAATTCAAAACAGAAAACTCCTTGGCATGTGACTTAGGATCATAGAATTGGAAGAGACCTTGGGGGCCACCAACCCCTTACTATCTGAGAATGAGTACATGACTTCCTTGGAGCCCTGATCCATTAAAGAACATTGAGGAAAGATGGAGGCAACAGGCACACAATGTTGCCAACCTTTGCATGAGACAAGGATCTGGTGCTAAACTTTCCTCCTGTTTTCAGTGTGACAACCTTAAATGGGGAATATGGAGCACTGGAAGCAGAAGGAGCAACAGTTTGTGGTTTAACCCAGCCTTTTCCCTGATGTGCTAGCTTTGTCCATGCAAGGAATTTTATTTTATTCTATTAGTATCATCCGGTCATGCAAGCCTGCATCCTTTGCAGTCTGAAGAAGAAGATCTGTTTGGATTCTGTTCATAAGTCACCTGTCAACTTATGGTGACCCCACAAATTGCATAGGGTTTTCTGAGGCAAGGAATCCTCAGAGGTGGTTTTGACATTTTCTTCCTCTAAAATACAGCCTACAGCACCTGGGATTCTTTGATGGTCTCCCATCCAAGTAGTCACCAGGGCTGACCCTGCTTACCATCCAAGATCAGACAAGAGTGTATTGTTTGTGCGCCTTCAAGCTGCCTATTGATCTATGGTGACGCCATAGATTTCAGAGGGTTTTCTTAGGCAAGGAAAACTCAGAGGTGGTTTTGCCAGTTCTTTCCTCTGAAATCTTTCCTACGGCACCTGGTATTTGTTGTCAGTCTCCTATCCAAGTACTAACCAAAGTTGACCCTGCTTAGTTTCCAAGATGAGACAGGATCAGGTACTTTTAGGGCATTTAGGCCCTGTTCATAACAGTACTCAGAAGTTTAAATATGTAGCATCCACTTGGTTGTGTCTTGGGTTGTTGTCAGTCTACATGAGATGTTTGGGTTTCCCCAGATTGCACTAACTTTGTGGGATAGTGTGCAGTGAGAATATATGACAGCCTTATCTATTGTGGGCAGCCGACAGTCAAGAATCCATGGCTGATGAGAGTGAAACATGGCGTTAAGAAACTGCTGTGGCGCAATAGATATTAGCTTTTTTGGTTGTAGGCAAAGGCAGTGACTACTAGCTCTACATAGCTGCCTTCACAGTCTTTGCAAGCTGATGAACAGGAGTTAAGTAAAGTAGGGCATTTTTCAAGGCGTTGGTGGAAGAGCAAGAACAAGTGAGCATGTATTTTGGATCAAGGCTGGTCACTTGGCTGAGCTGTTTGCATACTCTTCAGCATTTCACATCTGAAAAGTGGTACTGTTTTAACGGATGGTGTAAGTCACTTTGCATCCCTTATGGGAGAAAAGTAGGATATAAATCAGATAAATAATTAACAAAATACTTTTTAACAGGAATAAATGAATGGTACTACATTTTGGCAGGAAAAAACAGACAAATGAATATGGATAGGACAATGAAGAATAGGAATAGTAAAAGAATTCCCATACCTGGGATCAAACATTGATAGAAATGGGGACTACAGTCAGGAAATCAGAAGAAGACTAAGAATGGGGAGAGTAGCTATGAAAGAACTAGAAAAGATTCTAAAATGCAAAGATATACAACCAAGCACAAAAGTTAGAATCATGGAAGGCATTGTATTCCCTATTACCATGTTTGGATGTGAAAGCTAGACAGTCAAGAAAGATGATAGGAAGAAAATCAATGCATTTGAGAGAATGTGGGACTGGAGAAGAGTGCTGAGGATCCCATGGACAGCCAAAAGGACAAACAAAGGGGTCCTAGAACAGATCAAGCCAGAGATATCCCTAGAAGCCAAGATGACAAGACTTAGACTGTCGTACTTTGGACACATCATGAGAAGAGAGGACTCTTTGGAAAAAACAATAATGCTGGGGAAGGTGGAGGGAGGGGGGAAGAGAAGAAGACCACATGCCATATGGATGGACTCTATGAAGGAGGTCACTTTGGGTATTAAGGGGTTGCAGGAATTAAGCAGAGCAGGGGAGGACAGAAGGTCTTGGAGATGTCTCAGCCATAGGGCTGACATGAGTCGAAATCAACTCGAGGGCAGTTAACAGCAAAGGATGGGTAATACCTTGTTTGGCAACAGTACCTGTGAAAAGGCTCTAAGCTAGGGGGTCTTAGTAGACCACCAGCTAAATATGATAGATATGAGCCAGTGGCAAAAGCTGGTGTTGTGCAATGGCAAAAAAAAACAACACAATCCCAGGCTGCATCAACAGAAGTACAATACTACCCCTGTATCTATGGACATTCCCAGACCTACCATGGAAAGTGTACCCTATTGAAATGAATAACGTCCAGTTGAAGTTGACCACCAGAGTTGCACAGGAAGATCTAGAGATTCCTAGAAAGACCATCTTTCTAGAAATCTTTAGGTACTCCAACATGACTCCATAGTCAACAACTGCTGGAAGCATACCATAAAATTGTGGTGGAGGACCTAGAAAATGTCTAGAGAGAACATATACCTTTGGGAGTAAGTGAAACCATAGGTACTAGTCCTGTGGATACAGGGGATGAACTCTGTAGCATTCAGATAAAGGGAAGTATTGATATCACTGTATTCTGCTTTGATCATACCTTGAGTATCAAGGTATCAAGTACTGTGTTCAGATCCAGGCAACATGGTTTAAGAATACTGGAAAGCTGAAATGTGTCCAGAGGAGGGCAACCAAGATAGTAAAGGGTCTGGAAACAGAGTCTGAAGGGGACTGGTTGAAGGAGTTGGGTATATTTAACCTGGAGAAGAATGAGAGGTGATATAATTCAGAGACATTGCCGTGTTAGTTTGAAATAACAGTATGCAAAGGGATCTTGTAGCACCTTTGAGATGAACTGAGACAAAGAAAGAAGTTGGTAGCATAAGCTTTTGTAGACTCATGTCTACTTCCTCATGGGCATTTTTCTCAGTAAGTGCTCCAAGATCCCTTTGCATAATGAGAAGTGATATGACAGCCATGGTGAAAATATCTGACATGGAAACATGTAGAAGATAGAGTGAGCTTGCTTGCTGCTGCTCTGGACAAAAGCACCTCCATGAATGGATTCAAATTACAAAGAAAGGAGTCTCTGCTGAAACAATAATAACTCCTTGATAGTGAGAGCTGTTTGATAGTGCAATGCAATACTCTGGAGGATCGTAGACAAGAGCCAGCGTGGCGTAGTGGCTAGACTGTTGGACTAGGACTCTGAAGAGCAGGGTTCGAATCCTGGCTCAGCCATAAAAACCCACTGTGTGACCTTGAGCAAGTCACATTCTCTCAGCCCTCAGAGGATGGCAATGGGAAACCCCCTCTGAAGGAACTTGCCAAGAAAACCCTGTGATAGGTTTGCCTTAGGATCACCAAAAGTCAGAAACAATTTGAAGGCACACAGCACACACAGAGACTGAACTTTTAAAACAAAAGTTGGATGCCCACCTGCCAGAGATACTAAAGCTATAGATTCCTGTAGCAACAGATACTTAGACTAGATGATCCTTGGGATGCCTTCTGACTCTATAGTTCTATGATTCTATGCTTCTATGAGCCAATAATGAACCATTCTGTGAGTTCCTAGTGCATTTTGGGTGGAATGCTCACCATTGTTTATTAGGACTGCCAATTTTGTACTTGCTCTGGCCTGTCAGGCTACTGTTAAAGACACAGGAGCTGAAGAAGCTAGTCATGCACTATATAGGATGACAAAGGCAACATAATATCGGTAAGGATGAATAATAATAATAATAATAATAATAATAACAATAACATAAGATGATGATGATGATGATGATGACGATGATGATGATGATTTAACCATGCCACACACCATCACTTCCATTGAGTTCCAGTATTTTAAAGGGATGCAGGTATATACCACAGCCCATTTCTGCCCAAAGGTGGATGTTTGGGGAGCAGTGGTTTAACCCCATTAGGGTGTCACCTAGTAATGCCCTTGCATTTGTTGAATGTCTGGCTGTCATGCACTTTTTTAAGGGCACAGGGAGCTGTGGGTGGCATTATGGGAGCTGTAGTCCCACACATCAGAAGGGCACCAGGTTGGGGACATTCTGTTCAAGGAAAGTCTACAGGAAACATGTAATATCATTGTTTGTGCATAGATGTGCATGAGAGAGAAAACTACGTGGTTTTGTGGAGAGCACCGTTTGAATGACATCTCAAATGGGCAGTACAATTTGAGTGGTACCTAATTGCAATTCTCAGCCAAATTGCTAAAATGCTGACATATTATATCTCCCTTCTTCTTTTCCTTTCCTTTCCCCCCCATTCCTCCACAGGTCTGGGTTCCCTTTTTTGCCGGTGGTGGTGACCCTCCGACATGGGCATTAAAACAAGGTTGCCAATTTACGAGCTGGGGCTCTACGCTTTGGTTGTGTTGGGCGCCATCGTTTACAGTGGCATGGAGATCTTGGAAAGCTCTCAAGGTAACTTCTCCAATCCCAATCGAGGTAGAAAAGAGCTGTGCTTTGAGCAGGTCAGACATGAAGATAGGTCAGGAGATATCACACAGATCATCTCTGCCCATATGAGCCTGCCCAGACCCTGAGATCCTCAGGACAAGTCCTTCTTTCAGTCCCACCATCTTCAAAGGTATGGTTGATGGCAACAGAGAAAGACCTTCTCAATGGCTGCTCCGTCGCTCTGAAACTCACTCCCAAAGGAAGCCCAAGTGGCCCCTTCTTTGCTGTCCTTCTGTCAGCCGGCAAAGAAATTTTTAATTTTAAGGAAAGGACTTTTAAAAGGGTACCGCATTGTTTTCAGTTGTATTCTTTTTAACTGCTTTTTGTCATTTTTAAGTCTACCTTTTAAATTGTTTTAATACAGTTAATAGTTAAATTTTATTTTAAAGTTGACTTTTTTTTTATGTTTGGTGCAGCGGGAACCAAACCGGGTACCAAAATCTGTGGATACTCAAGTCCTATTAAATACAATGGCATGGTGAAATAATAGTAATAATAATAGTAAAAATAATGTTGGGGTGTTTTTTTTTTACTTCTTTCCCAGTTCTCCTCAAGGCTGGAGATGGGGTACAATGTGTTAAAATACAGAACACAATTAAAAAAGAAAGTATGTAAAACCAACAGTCAAAATACAATACTACAAAACCATACTATGGTGTCTCTTATACAAAATAGCAAAATCAAGGTTTGCTTTTGGAATTTATATCTTTTTGGATTTTTTTCAAACTATGGATGGTTGAATCCATGAATAAAGAATCCATGGATATAGAGCCAACTGTATATAATAATCAATTTTTTTATTATTCATTTTCATTATTTATTGTCATTATTTTTCATTATTTTTCATTTGATTTTTTAATTTGATTCCTTGCCCAGCCATGGAAACCCACTGGGTGACTTTGGGTGAATTGCATGCTCTCAACCCCAGAAAAAACTGTGATAGGTTCACCTTAGGGTCACCATAAATTGGAAATGACTTGAAGGCACACCACCACAACAAAATCATTATAATCTATAATCTGTAAGTCCTTTAGACATGCTCCAGTTTCTCCACATCCTTTTTGAATTGTGGTGCCCAGAACTGGACACAGGATTATTCCAGGTGAGGCCTGATCAAAGCAGAATAGAGTGGCACTATTGTTTCCTTTGACCTAGACTCTATACTTCTATTGATGCAGTCTAGAATTGTTTTGGCCTTTTTAGCTGCTGCATCACACTGTTGACTCATGTTCAACTTGTGGTCTACTAGGACTCCTAGATCCCTTTCACATGAAGGGGCCGTACAGATGTCCCCTAAGGGGCAGCTCTGTGCCTCCCCTGGGAGCACTGGATCCAGACCGCGACAACCACACGCTGTGGCCCTGATCTGGCTTTTAACCACTCCAAAAAGAACTGGCAAATGCCACTCTTTTTTGGAGTGGCAAAAAGCTGCCCTTAGTGCCACCCCCATGGCTCTTTTGCACCCCTTTGACGCAGTGTGTCTACACACTGTGCCAACAAAGCACTATGATGCTGCACACTATGCAATGGGGCATGTGGCGCGATGGCATCGTCGGAGTGGAGTCAGGGTGGCTGGCGTGCAGTCTCGCCCCCCCCCAACTCCACCCCCAGGCCAGCCCTTTTGGTCAGTCTACAAAGGCCCATAGTCTCATTCAGCCAGGTATCCCCCATCCTATATCTATGCATTTCATTTTTCCGCCCTAAGTGCAGTGCCTTACATTTCTCCATATTGAAATTTATTTTGTTAGCTTTGGCCCAGCTTTCTAATCTATTAAGATCTTCTTAAATTTTGATCCTGTCCTCTGGGATATTCTTATACATGTGTTCTGCTGCAGCAGGAGTGAACATGACATATACTTTAAAACTTTGAAACTGTGTCTAAATAGCAGCTTTTGTCATGCTGACTTTAGTGTTATAATCTCTGGAAACATGCTTCCCCAGAGGAATCCATGATGGGGTTCTATTTATGGAGGAATTGTTCCTGGCCCAGAAAAGAGATTTCCTGGCTCCTTGCAGGTTCTGGCTTCACTCCACCAACTTAGAGGATGTGATAGGCTTTGGTTTGTGTTATTAATGTATCACGTTTTGGGACCATGCCTCCTGAAAGTTGTGTTGTGCACGAAAAGAGATGGATACAAGACAATAAACTATGCCCATTTTAGATGTGTGCATGACATACCCACCAGCATGTAGAGAGATCTTGCAGCACCTGTGAGACTAACTGAAAGAAAGAAGTTGGCAGCATCAGTTTTCCTAAACCTCAGTCTACTTACTCAGATGCTTTCCCAGCATTTAACAAATTAAAACTGGGACATGTGTGGCCAAGCAACATCAGAGTGTGGTTAATTTGGCAAAAAGTTATTACTGAGACAGAACAAACTAGGAGTGGCTGCAGCAGTTTGCTTTGGCCTGAGCCTACTGGGAAGGACAAGAATTCACCCATAGGTGGATAGGTGACTTAAAGGCACGTACACGTATGCAAATAAGGAGGTATTCAGTACCTCCTTGTACCATCTGTTTAGTGGCATCCAGATGGCAGTCGGACAGCAGCTTCATCCTTCAGATCTAAATAACCACTGTTTAGCTGTGGGGACTGGTGGGAAAACTCCCTCTGAGTGTTGCATGGCTGGACACCAGCCCTCCCCACCATCACCACCCTCAATCTAAGTACGTTGGTGGAAATTTAGGCTCTAACAGTGTGGAATAAGATTTCACCCCAGGCCTTCCTCCCCCATGCAAGGTTCAATTGAAC